ACCTGGGGTTTTCTGCCAAAAAAAAAAAAAAACCTTGAAGGTTTACTATTTGAAAATGAATTAAGACAGTGATAAATATTAGTCATTAAAATTTTACAGTTGCACTCTAAAGTTATTATATTATTTTCCTATTTTCTCCTTTACAGTGAAATATATCAATAGTAAAATTTCTTATTTTATTATTTTTATTTGGCAACAATCATAACAACAACAATTATTATTATTATTGTGTATAATTTTATAGATATAATTATTATATGATTAAATGCGTAAATTATTATTATTATTGTTATTATTATAGACATACCGATAGATAAATCACAACATTTGGGGCCAAATTGTGTAGCCCTATAAACAAGCAAACCTGAAGCTTCTTTTTAATTTACTTTAAAATCACATTTTAAAATGTAATTTCTAATCAGAAAAATCACAATTAGATTTTTTTGCTCATACCACGCAGTCCTAGATTCTAGTTTCTAAAGTGAGAGGAAATAGGCTGCGACATGGCAAGGTTCTATGCCTGTTTCTATGCCCTTTACAGCAACAAGAAAATGTGGGAAGAAAAGAAAACATAGAAAAAGAAAGTGATAGCGCTCTAAAACTCTGTGCGTGCCCCTCCAGGAGTGTTGGGACCACAATCACAAAGAAACACCAGTTCAATTTCACACAAACTTATCCGAACATGAGCTGTGTAAATACTTTGGTGTTGGGACTTCGAAATTGCTTTGAATGTTTGAACTATTCAGATACAGAGCCACGGTGCATCTGAGGATACATTCCACACAACTGACGTGTGTGTCATTCAGTTTGTGTGCGTTTTGGTGTGAGTATTTGTGTCCCACAAGGTATGACAGTACATCCTGATGGGAACAGAGAAGTTTGATTAACCCCGCTGACCACTTACTGCTGGAGGCTAATCATTAAAGGTACAGTACAAGGGCGTATTATGTAAACACACATACACTTGTATGTGTAGAACAAAATGTTCCCAAAACAGCAGCCAAATCTCAATTGCAAAAAACTTCTCTGGGTGGAGCTGGGATATGCCTTTGCTCTATATGCTCTTTATATTCTACACAGAACCAAGGGCTAACATCACTTCCTGTCTACACTTCAAACTTAATTAGCAATCAAAACATGTTCATTCACAGAACATAATAGGATCGATTGTAACCCACCTTGAGAGCTTGCAGACGGGCTTGCTCCTCCTCCAGGGCCTGCTGTTTCTCCTTCTCGTCCATCCTGCTGGATGAGAAGGAGAAGGACATGCCCGTGTTGGACAGGGACGACACCGCATTGGACAGAGTGTTGGCTCTACAAACAAAAACACAGATAAACACAGAAGTGAGATTTCTCTATCAGTTCTTTATTTAAGAGCTGATAAATATAGCACTGTTCATTAGACAATAAAGTCTTATCTTACAGTATGTGGCTATATATAAATCTCTTGCTGATGGTTTGTTGTTGCTGTATCAACTGCTTCAGCATATGGCTTGTGAAGTAAAGTGCTGTTAAGAGGTTTTATACAGCAACTTGCATTTGACTATATATTTTTTGCATAATCTTCAAAACAATAAAACAGGTATATGTAATAAAAAAATTAATTAAAAAAAGTACACTCACATGAGATGAATGATATGTCATTAGCCTAATAAAAGTTGTTTTATATTACACAAAATGGGTTGCCCACTATGAGGACCACCATGCTAAATTTTTTAACCAGCCCACTACTCAATCTTCCCTAGTCACATGATGTTTTTTTTTCATATTTATGATCATCAGTGGGTCAAAGTAATGGCAGTGGATACAAATATGCATGAACAGGGATACCAAGAAAATTGTACATTTTACAGTTTTTTTTACATGAATGTATGTATTAATGTCAGTGAATGTTTTCCGTGTTAAAATGTTTTTATTTGGAATTTCAGCAGAGGATCATTTGTCATTTTAAATATGCAAACACACTGTAACAAAAATGCATGAAACAAAGACTCATATAAAACTAGTAATAATTGCACAAAAGATTTAAATAAATAAATGGAGAGAGAGAGCGAGAGAGAGATTAATTAAATAATTAAATAAAAAAAGTTTTTTCTCTGTTCAACGTCATTACTTTGCCCCGCTGATGGAAATGCAGAATGGAAATGGTCCATTCACTGATTAATATGGTAAACATGGAAGATCAACTACCTTGCTTGCCTGACATGTGAGAACGGACCTCATTGGTTGAGCGTCTGTTTACAATATCTGATGAACTATGTATGTGTGTTGATCAATGTTTATATGTGAATAAAAGCCTAAATTAAATTTGTTCATCGTGTAATGCAAACTTTTTTTTCTGAAGATTTGGATTAAACCACTCAATTTCAATGGATGGACAAAAATGAAAAAGGAGAAGAATGACTTCACAGATATATGCCCAAACAGGGCTGTACAGAGTGATGCTGGATTGTTTGGATATGTAGGATTTCAAACCTGTTGTCAGCGGAGAGCTCCTTGGTTTTCTTTCCCTCCAAAGAGGCCAGGTGCTGCTCAAGAGCCTCCAGGAGACTGCTGGGAGCCTGCAGGAGAAAGAGACGAGTCAAGAACTCAATGAGAACATACAGCACCAGTTTAAAGAAGACACACTCACACGGTCAAACACACTTACACACACACACACCCACTCGATCCACCTGAGTTTCAGCAAATAATAACAGGAGCATGCTTTAAGCTTTTAGTAAGAGGCGTACAGGCAAAGCATAAACAAGCACAAAAAAACAAGAGAGAGGAAGAGTACAAATTCGAAAGAGAGGAAGTGACATGCACAGTGGAAGATCCAAACCTCAAACGCATGACAGACTCATGAGGTCACTGATATATCTCAGTATTGGACCATGACATTAAACAATTTACACTGGCTTTTGGAACTAGTACTTTGGGGTTTCTGTGAGAATTTCTTGTGTTGAGTCGCAAATCTAGCTAAAAACCTTTCTCTGAGCCCTTTATATCGATCTAGGATTTGTTTCTTTTGAAAATAATTATCTTAACAACTACAAGAGGAAGCATTACACAGGTCCCAGATCAGCAAACACGGGATGTGTATGTTAGCACCTAAGAGCACACACACATCCCGTGCTGCTTCATTCAAATGAGAGCAAATGTTAGCACAAGCTCACAGCTCATGGTTGGTGAAAAGAGCAGGTGCTTTGTGCCAAGTTTCCAGAACAGACAACCCATGATAAAACTGCTCTTATGGACTAAGGGTAAGGTAAGCTCTTCGACTGAGCCTAGCTGGCAGCGCTGGCCAACATGTCTGGATCTGATCTAGGTTGGCTTTTTCTCCACATCGCTGAGAGGGCAGATTGGGTCTAATCCATTCCACAGAAAACAGAAGCCAAAAGAGAGGGGAAAAACACATATGCAGCAGTCTACAATTCAAATAGAACTAAAAATGAACATTTCGGGCTAAGCGGGAAAATGTATTACCTTTCACAGAAGTGAGATAAAAAAGAAAGATGAAAGTGTAACAGCTTTTAATTTGCTCCTTTCCTGTCTGATTTGATTTCCTCAGAGAAGACACGGCATGAACAGGCTTTTGATTAAGTGGCTACATTATAGATGTGCGTGCGGCTACACAAAGGACAAAGCGAGGTTATATGAATACTTCAGGCTTACAAACGTAAGACCGCTGGGCAGTTTTCTCACTGGTCTCAGATCAGCAGAAAAAGCGATGAACAGCCATGCCAGCAAAGTGACGAGGCAGAGGCCACATTCAATCAGTTAGCCTGGTTTTAAAGGGATGAATCCGCTGATGCAGTCAGAAACAAACCAGGGCTGAGAGATATAGCTAAAAAAATGACCTCAATATTTACTTTTTGATGATATTTGATCTCAACATACACAGTATGTATTTGCTCTAAAATTACTTTTAATTTAAGGAATAATCATTGACTAAACCAAGATTCTGACTCAAAATACAGTAAAATGTAGTTAAAAATAAATAACTAAAAGCATGTTTTAAGAATGTTTTTCATTAAATGAACATTGATTTTTATAGAATCATTATTACATAATATATGTTATATAATTATATGGAACAATGCAACAATATATATTATTAAATTATAATATTTATCCTCATATTTTTCACAGAAACATTATTTTAGTTTTATGTTTATGTGTTTAATCAGACATGTCAGTTTTAATTGTCATATGCCCCTGGTTTAAATAGCAAATATTTTCGTTACAATTGTAAAATATTACTGCATTTATAGTCAGTGCAAAACTGGTCAAATTGGATGGCCAAATAAAAATTATTGCAATATTAACAATGCTGGCTAATTTTTAACAAACAAAAAATTGAATATGTTGTCAATATTTGATATATCACCCAGCACTAGTAGTAGCACAGGTTATGTCAAATACAAGCAGTGCATATAACCCACCACCTACAAGGTAAGATCCTCTAGTCGTCTGAAAGGAACAATAAACAATGTGTTACGGCAGGGGAATAAACCTCTCATTCAATATAGTGTTAACCCCACTCAACACTCAATGTCAACACTCATACAAAGACATCAAATTTGATGTCTCCACAAAATCATACTGAAATAGTGTGATCATCACTAAACACATTTGAGAGGGAACTAAACAGAGAGAGGAGTGTTTGGTAACTTCTATCAAGCTCTACCACAAGTCTTGACGCTATTAATATTAAGTCTGACTTTTTAAACCAAACAGGAGAAAGGACAGGAGACAGGACGTCCAAAAAACAGTGAGCATGGGTACAAAAACAGCATGTAAGACAACAAGAGAGGACGAGGACAGGTGGAACACAGAGAGAAAAGAAGGAAGGGAGAGCGGTGGTACGATGGACGACAGCAGCAGCGTAGTGAGGAAGTAGAGGAGAAACAGAAAGTGAAGATGAAATGTACACTGACCTGAGTGAGATCTGGGATGTCACCCTGATCAATCCCAACTTGCTGTGTCATAAACAAAACAAAACAAAAACGGTAAACAAACAAACAAACGAGGGGAGGGAGGAGGAATCAGAAAAAGAACAAACATGAAGGATCATTACCTCATGCAATGACTAAAAATGAAAGAAATAAAAATAACAGAGGTGTGGCATGCCGAGAGCCACGGAGGATCAATGGGAACGGACACAGACATTGATAATGTCTCACACGGCTGACTGTGGCGTGTGGAGTGGTTAACATTCAAAAACTATTTTTGAAAGACAGCCGTCAACGGCTACAGGAAGAATAACAGGAGAGAAACAGTTCTTTCCACACTGTATAAAGCAGTCTTAGTGAGGTACACTGCCCCACACTTTGGAGCTATAACTTTGCATAGATTTTCCATAGTTTATATAGTCATTCATGATAACTGAATAAAAAATTGTATTTATATAGTTGTGGAGATAGCTGGGGGTTAATTTTCGCATGTACAGTACCATTCAAAAATATGGGGTCGTTTTTTGTCAAATTGATCAAATTGTTTTTGAAAGAGATTGTGAAAAATTATTACAACTTACAAATTATTACAACTGTTTTCTGTTCTAATATATTTTAAAATGTAATTTATTTCTGTGATGGCAAAGATGAATTTTCAGCGGCCATTACTCCAGTCTTCAGAGTCACACGATCTTTCAGAATCACTCCAATATGCTGATTTGGTGCTCAAGAAACATTTCTTTGTATTATCAATGTTGAAAGCAGTTGTGCTGCTTAATATTTTTGTGGAAACCATGACATTTGTAGAAAGTTCAACAGAACAGCATTTATTTGAAATAGATTTTTTTATAACATTAATTTGCAAATAGAAATCTTTGGTAACATTATATATGTATTTACTGCCACTTTTGATAAAAATGAATGTGTCTTTGCTGAATAAAAGTATTAATTCTTAAAAAATAAATCTTATAAACCCCAAACTTCTGAACGGTAGTTTATGTCAGGTAATGCGTAAGTTAATAAACAAACAATTGTACATGGTGTACAACTGCACCCAATGAGACCCTCAATCAACAGACTGATGTTATAATGCTGATTTCGGTCTCTTTTTAGCCATTGCAATATTTTAGAAAAACTACAACAGAGGTCAGTTTAACCTCGATTCAAACAAAGGATGAAACTTAGTGCTATCCGAATCACTTCTGGCAGAAGAGGCACATGTATATGTTTATGGACTCATTCCATGAGGACTGTGCAATGCATTGCAGTGCCAGAACACTAAATATATGGCATCCGTGCATGCATCAATCCAGGGAAGATGAATGCCAGAGCATTGTGGGATGGAGAGATATGAGAGAGAGAGAAATTGTTGGAGCAGAGGGGTCGTTGAACCTGTGACCTAATCTCAGACCTGTCATATCGAAACACTGTGTGTGTGTGTGTGTGTGTGTATTGCACTGGTACCTCAGCCACTTTAAGAAACTCTGACAGCTTGCTCATCCTGTACAGAAACTTCTTATAGATGTCCAGAGCATCTTTACACTGGTTTTTCTTCATATCAAAGTATTTCTCTGAAACAGCAGGACAAGAGATATAGAGAGAAAGAGAGAGAGAGAGAGAGAGAGATGAGGAGAACAGAACGATTAGCAGAGAAGCTCAAACAGATAAAGACTGCAATTACCCATCAGAGGACTGTCAAAACACTCTGGGCTGTCTGAAAGAGACAGGGGCATATAAAAGCTGCTGTAATGGTTCGCTCAAGGACAGCTAGCACTCTAATTGTGCGTTCACACCGCCGCCGTCGAGAGCGTCAAAAAAAGCTCTGGCCGCCCTGCCAACAACGCTGTGGAAAGATTCGTGGACGCTCTGACGTAGATCGAATGCTTATCTTGTATTTAAAGGGGTCGCAAAGCAAACACGCTTGTTGATCTTGTGCAGACTGACCACAAGGAGGGTAACGTTAAGTTAACCTCATTAAATATTGTTGTGGACGAAGTATTAAGATCCTTTACCTCATAATGTATAAAGCACTAATACCACACTGTAAAAATACTCTGATACAAGTAAAGGTCCTGCATTGAAAATGTTACTTAAGTAAGTATAATCAGGTATATACATTACTTAATGTAAGTATAATCAGGAAAATTGATTTAAAGGTTTAAAAGTGAACTGGGACTATTATACTATTATTTATTATATCATTAGATTATTATTCCTATAACGTTAATGCACATCAGCAACTCACCAGGAACACCAACAATCTCAGACACCTTGGTCCACGCATCATTTTTTTTATTTATGTCCCTGTACGCAAACAGGGACATGTCATAGATTATTGGGAAACCCGCCAATCAACCTGTCCTCCATTTTGCTTGGGAACTAATGTGGTCGAAACCAAAGTTTACAGGACTGCGTTCTCTGGAATCCTCTCAAGCGGTGGACTTCTACGTTCCGATTGGTTGCCGCCGAACCGCGTCATAGCTCATTACCATAAAGTTGACCTGATTTCAACTCTCCTCGACGCCCTCAACGTCCAAGTCGCCGGCTCACATTAAAAATGAATGACTTCCGGCCACTTTGACGCTCTCGACGGCAGCGGTGTGAACGCACGGTAATGCATTTTTAGACCATCAACCTAAACGGCCGTATGTCACAACATAAAAAAATACAACAATAAAAATCATGGAAAAATGAATGACTCAACGACTGAATAATTAGTGCTCAAACAGAGTAAAAATCAGCAATAGCTGAAGAGGAATTAAAGCCTAATTTCTGCTAGACTATTAAGGGGTCACACACTGGATGTGAAGTGCAACATCAGGTCAAAGATAGGACAAAGCACAAGGATCCAACACTGTGTTGCTCTGAATGTGTGAGCACAAAGTCAACTCCTCATGAGATTCAAGAACACAACTTTTAACCAGAGGGAGTTGCTTCAGTAATATTTGTTTGCATGCTTATAATTTAGCGCCATGCCTGCAACCGTGGCTATATTCAGGGGAAGAAACAAGTGAAAAATAGTAAAAGTATATAACTAAACTATATGCTGTAGACAACAAATAAAAACAAAATGTACAAAATGTTTTGGAAAGCTAGTCTTTCATCAATTTAAAACTATATCTGGCCTCACTTTATCACAATCTTTTCATAAGAATCAACTGAAAATGAACAAGCTAAAGTTAGAAGCATCAAATATGCTTCCAAGATATTGGGCTCTGGAACAAAAAAGGCATAAAAAGGATCTTCATCCATTAACAAAAACTTGTGTTTTAGTCTGGAGAGGCCTATTGGACAGCAGATGTATATAATATGGTCCCACCAATTTTCAAAATATAGACAACATTTTCTACCAACAACAGGACTGATTTGTGCTACACAGATGCAGTTTATTTTGGATAAAAGTATCTCAAACTATTGATTAATTTGTATAACGTACTGGAAGACCTGAGCTCTTGTGGTTCAACTGCACTGTTCTTTGCTCAGAAAGCAGTAACCCCTAAAGTAGAGTGTGCGAATAGGATGCTCTCCAGAGTGAGAGGGAGTGGATTACTCTTACCCAGCAGGTTGATAACACCCTCATTATAGGCAGCAAACAGACGGATGGAGTCTTTGAAGAGCAGCATGAAGGCAGCGTTGATCACTCCGTTAGTCAGCTCATTAGGGTTAGCCTACGGACACACATCCACAGGAGAGAGTACACATTATACCAAATAGCCTGGACTGAATCAACATCAATGTTGATCTGTTAAAATAGGGTTTTCCATCCTGGGGCTTAGGGGTCACCAAGCCTACTTGATTTTAGGGGAACTGATTATCACTTCAATCACAGACACAGTCAAATAATCTGCACTAAATCTATCCAAGCTGAATTACTTTCATTAAAAGAAAGGAATAAGGGAATTTTCATACTGTAAATGTTCTTGCATTTCATCAGCACACTTTAAATTGTTTACATACACACTACTGTTTAAAATAAGATTTGGTAAGATTTATTTAATTTTTTTTAAAGAAATTAATATTTTTATTCATAGCAAGGGTGAATTAAACAGATCAAATTCATAGTAAAGACATGTATAATGTAACAAAAGGATTAGTTTTAACTTAAATGCTATTCTTTTGAACTTTCTATTTGTCAAAGCATTCAGAAAAAAAAAATGCAAGAAATTAAACTGGATCAAGGTTTACACAACTGTTTCAACATTGATAATAATAAAAAATGTTACTTGAGCACCAGATCAGATGATGTTATAATGATTTCTGAAGGATCATGCAACACTGAAGACTGAATAACTGCTAAAAATGAAGCTGTCCTTAAAACAGGAAACAGTTGTTTTTAAATTTTAATAATATATAACAACATTACAGTTTTTATTGTATTTTTGTATTAAATAAATGCAGTCATGGTGAGCATAAGAGACTTCTTCCAAATACATTTAAAAAATCCTTCCGACCCCAAACTTGCAATAGTATATGAATGTTTTTTTTTCTTAAATTGGAGGTTTAGCCAGTAAAAAATAAAGACAAGATAACATCAATTATATAAAAACAAATAAATACATTCTGATTGGATTTGAATAATTGGGAAGCTTTAAATCATACATGCATGATCTTCATCACAAACCTGGAAATCCAGCAGCGCGTCCAGCTGGTTTTGAATGATAGGCAACGTTTTGATCAGCTTCTCTGTGTTCATGGTACGCATGACTCCATCAATACTGCACCACAAACAGATAAACAAACAATCAGAACTCACCACTTATTTAGCGCTTAAAAAATCAGCTACTTAATCAGCTTTTAAAAACAACTTGAGTAATGAGCTAGCCTGATTTGATTGTGTCCTGCTGAGACAAGGTGTTTGAACACAATCTTGACTCTAGGCAGACAATATTACAGAGGCAGAACTGAGGTTTACCCACCCTCTCTTCATCTTGGTAAAGTCCACAGCCACCAGCCTATAGGAAAGGGCTTTTTCATTGAGATATCTGCTGTACCGTCTGATGAACGTGGACATGTCATAGCCTGAGGGAAAGATCGAGGGGTTTATCATCAGTGTGTGTGTGTGTGTGTGTGTGTGTGCGTACAATGCTTTAGAGACAGGAAAGGTGTTCATGTTTCTTACCTTGCAATGCACCTTTATCAAGGAAATTGTTCAGATTGAAGAGCGTGTTTCTTGAGGCCAGATACTGAATGAAACGCTGCGGGTACAGAGAAAAGATAATCAAAATGCTGACACCAAAATATAAAGTCATATACTAGATGTGATTCTGCAGCTCTTAATCTGTCAGAATGCGGGAGCGACTTCATCCCTGACGTGCGGAAACTCCCCGCTGCTGAATTTGCAGTACACTGTGTGAAATCTAGACCTGTATACAAGACCAGACTCTTCTGAGTTCTCTTTGAGCTGCCAAGTATGTCTGCTGCAGCTCCCCTCCTCCATCCAGCCCCATCCCACCAGCTCACACAGCTGTAGGCTGAGAAACAGAGCAAAGAGAAGCACACAGTGTTCTGGATGCTGTTGAGAACGGACATGATGGGAGTTTTGGGAATGCAGTAGATTTATACTACTACTAGCATGCTACTAGGATGCATTCATGCATGTCATGACATACATGACAGGAAAACAGAACCTATACACCGACCTCAAAACCAATCAAACTCTTTTGTGATCTGATCACAAAAATCATATTCTGAGATTAGAAAATGAAGTAAGTGACTATGCAAGTGATTACATCTCATTTAGTGACTATATCGCACACAAAGTTCTGCCCACTCATTCTTGATCTAACTAAAGTAGAGAAAGATATTTTCTGCCGTATTGTGATGCCCATTTGAGTGAAACATTCTTTTGTAGGATTGGGGCTCGGTTATGATTGGATTGAGGCAGACCTGAATGCTTGCAGTCGATTGAAAGAAAAGGACAGGATTTAAACTGACTAAATAATTAGAGAAGTCTGGCATACATCACCAAAGAGAAATATGTAGTTTCACCAGATGATCAAGTTACGATTTTTTTATTAAAAATTATGAGGTCAAAAAAATATTTTAGAAAAGCATGTATGCTGGATGAATCATTCACAATAATATCAATAATATGCATTTAGCAAATAGGATGGTGATTTTTAATTTCATGCTTACTTTAAACTTTACTGATTATGTGCATCTTGAACACAGTTGTTAAAAGGATGCTCCGCCCAAAAATGAAAATTAATGAAAATAATCTCATTATTTACTTATGCTGTGCCAGATGTATATGAATTACTTTTTTCAGATGAACACAAAGATATTTAGAAAAATAATCAATTTCTGTGAGGTGGGGCTCTCAAAGTTGATGCATCACAACATGCTGACGTTTAATTCACACAAACTCTCATGTGCGACTTTGGTTTATGGTTTAAAAAGTTTAAAATATTAGTATTTTTCACACACACACACACACACACACACACACACACACACACACAACACACACACACACACACACACACACACACACACACACACACACACACACACACACACACAGTACATCCCTGCATCTCACTCTATTCTATTCCTACTCCATCATCTAAAGTCGTGGCCTAATGGTTAGAGAGTCGGACTCGTAACCCAAAGGTTGCGGGTTCGAATCTCGTACCGGCAGGGATTGTAGGTGGGGGGAGTGAATGTACAGCGCTCTCTCCCACCTTCAATACCACGACTGAGGTGCCCTTGAGCAAGGCACCGAACCCCCAACTGCTCCCCGGGCGCCGCAGCATAAATGGCTGCCCACTGCTCCGGGTGTGTGTTCACAGTGTGTGTGTGTTCACTGCTGTGTGTGTGCACTAAGGATGGGATAAATGCAGAGCACTAATTCCTAGTATGGGTCACCATACTTGGCCACATGTCACGTCACTTTCACTTTCACTTAAAGCACAAATGTACATACAAATTATTTAAAAAAATCTTTTTTTTTATTTACATATGTATTTTTATTCTCATCTTATTTTTATTGTCTGTGTGTTGTTGTTATCTCTGTGTACTGGAAGCTGGAAACAAATTCCTTGTATGTGCAAGCATACTTGGCAATAAAGCTCTTTCTGATTCTGATTCTGACACACACATTTGACATTGCATCAACAGACATTTATTCATCAATTGGGGTAGTATCGATTACTGTTATGAAGAGTCAACTTTTTATTTAATTATCTTTTTATTTTATTACTTTTCTAAAAAATCTTTGTGCTCCACAGAATAAAGTAACTGGGACGGCACATCTGGGACAGCATGAGGGTGAGTAAATGATGAGAGAATTTTCAGTTTAGGGTGGAGCATCCCTTTAAAGGGGTCCTATTATGCTTTTCACTTTTTCAACTTCATCATCAAAAGCATAAAAAAAGAGCATAAAAAAGATCTGCAAAGTTACAAAGCTCAAAGTCTACTTCAAAAGGATATATTTTATACTTTTCAAAAAAAAAATTCGCGGGTTTAAATCGCGGTCAAATTGACTTGATTTTGACAATATTTACACTGAAGCTCGCAGGCGGCTATGGTGCGGGCTTTCATTTGATACAGGAACTATTCGAGCCGTTCATGCCAGACTGAGGAGAGAGGTGTTTTAATAATGTAAAATATGTAAAAAATAATGTGTTTTTCGAACAACCTAGTATGAGAGCCTGTTCTAGTACACCCCCAAAACAAAATCAAGACTTTGTAAAAGAGCATAATAGGACCCCTTTAATTACAAGAGCAAACAGCCTGTACCTATTTGCAACACACTATAGGCTGGTATGTCAACAAATGATTAGTGAGTAAATCTGAATAGAACAACTTGCGTTTCCTAGAAACTGTATTTGTCAATGTCCTTTACAATACACTACAAAGTTATCAGTCCCACACGGAGTATAAACCAGAATGCAGTAAGTGTAACCTTGATCTTATTTCGTAAATTAGTACACCAGAGAAAAAGAGTCAGCAGGAAACAGTTTTTACATACTGGGATGGAGCCTTAGGCTTGTTTTACCCCAGGGGAGAACCAGCATGAGGACCTGGTGACAGGCCCTGCAGTCAGGCAAAATCTGCTTGGCACAGAGGAATGAAATAGTCCTGGCAGGGGCCATTTTCAGCCTGTGGCAAAAGTATTCAAAGGTCGAGAGTCACTGAAATCACAGAAGGGTCCTAAAATGCATCTGAAGGAAGGGGAGGCTAAAAAAAATGCTGCATTCCTAGAGCTCTGCTTAAGTTGGCGGATCAAGAGTGGTGACCCACTGAACGGTAGGCTGACAGTCTGGTGTGTATATAGAAGGAAAGTGGCCACCCACTCTTTGAAGATCAATGATCTCTGATCTTAAAGAAGCTCTTGGTGTGGGGTGGCCCTGGTCATGTGATTGAGGCTTTGTGTGAGGTTCCTCATTCTATTTTAAAATTTGTGCAGTCAAACGTTAAAAATTCAGCTGCATTTTAACAATATACAAAAAAGGACAATGGCAGAATAGTGATCTAACACTGGGGATCTATTTTTGGGTGAACTATCCCTTTAATATTTTAGGAAGGGGATTCCTTTCAAATTTAGAGGTCCTTGTCATCAAAAATCCCTGATCTAACGGTGTGTTCCCAATCATTCTCAAAGAAAACTACTGACATACTTCTGATTTGCACCGGTGCCTCAAATACCAGCCTAAAATCCTTAAGGATCAGACGAGAAGCAGAGTGAGGCGTACCACATTCAGACCATGATGAAAATCCCCAGGACGGCAGCTGTGCAAAGCATGAGCTAGCTCTCTCTGGTACTGTGGCTTAACCTTGGAGAGAAACCTTGTGGAAAACGCATGGCCGAGCCAGTGTGTACCAAACTGCAGAGAATATTGCTCCATTCCAGAGTGTAGATCGATATGGATTACTAATTCAGTGGAGTCTGCAAATCCACATTCGCCTGCCTGCTCCTCTGCATGAAAGCCTCAATCTCCCTGCCTTTTTTTTTTACATAGCTGAGGTTATTCAAAATGGATGTCAGCAGTAGGGACGACAAATATAGATTGATAGGCCAGGAAGGGTTCGGCATTCTCTGCTTAGCAAATAATTAATGTGAGAACAAACCTCAAGTAGAGTCAGAGTGAAGCATCATTTATTATGAAGGCAGGAGGCTCTTTGGCAGGGAGCTTTCTTTCCCAAAGGGAGCAGCTTCTATTAACACAGCAGCTCAGGCTGAGGGAAGATATCAGCAATCTGGGAACAGGGATTGCTCATGTTTTAGCCACTGATTTTGTTTGTGCAGTCGGGAACTGATCTAGAAACAGCACTGGAACTGCTATGTGAAATTGCCGGTTGGTGCGCAAGAGCGCTAACCCTGCAGGGAACATGTGTAAATAGGATGCATGATGATGCCCTGATAATGTGCCGGCTGCTGGTCTTCGCTCTCTCGATCCATACATGTTCTGAGGTTTCTATGGATACGGCCTGAGCAATTATGGTGGTTAGAAAAAAATAAAGGCTTACAGAAAAACGGCAAGCACAAAAAGATAATGACAGGAAGCGAAAGGAGGCACATTGTTCGATAGCGATTATTTTCAAACACAAAACCCATTCTTTTCATGACATCTGATTCAGAGCTAAAATGACCGTACCAAAAAGCAAAAACAGAAACGCGTGACCAAATCAAAAAAAAATTAAAATCTTCACCCACTATACAAAGCTGATGTAGTGCTATGTTTCACGCTCCTAAAATCTCACCATCAAAAAAACAGTAAATACAAAATGTAAATATGAATCAATAAAATAAAAAACTACCCTCCAGCACACCAGTGTGAGGAACAGCTATTAGCCATTAACTGTGTGTAGGAGACTCATGTCACTGCCACTAAAAAAAAAAGTCAATGGTCTAATCCAACAAGGTGAGTCACAGTCACCAATTCCCACATGTAGTTTATTACTGAAGTCTCTACTTATGAATTACTGATTGCTGAGCAGCAGCTGTTTGTTTTCTGCCCAGATTTGCCATTCCTGCCTGCAGGGTAGAGAAGGAGAAGTCATCAGGGGAGTGAGAGAATGTTTCATAAAGGTAATAATTACCTTTCCTAGCACACATCACTCACAAACAGCATCCATTATGCAAACAGATCCCACACAGTAGAGACCTGAACTCAAAGAGTCAGCACATGGCCAGAATGTTAAACAGCCCATTTCACAGCTGTCGGAAAAGCCTTAAACTCAACATGGAACGGCATTTGTTTTTCCTGTGGAGTTTGAGACGCATTTCCAAATGTTACAGGATACTCAAATAAATGTTTGTATGTATACTGTACATGCATATTATAAAATACAGTCATTTTTCATGTCACTTGACAGATTTAGTCGGATTTCTTAAATAGACACAAAAGAAGTCTGAAAAACAGAAGCAATGTCTTACGCCCAATTACATGTTCTTTGAAATTATGAAGCAAAGAAAGATCTTGCAACTGACACAACTCCATGGATTATACATTGCACTTTCTGGTCTTATAAATAGCAACAAATTAATTTAAACCATCACACAGCAAGGCTGAATTGCAGCTTATTTCGGCATTTGGAAGTGTACTGTATGAATCAGAGGTTGTTCGGTGTAGTTCTTCAGAAACACATCAGAATCCCAGAGTACGTACCGAACACCCGTGTTCACGCTCACAGAGCAAAAGTCATTTTCAAGACTGACATTTACATGGATTCATTAAAAACACATTTAAATGCTGAAACTCTTTGGTGGTCTTGTGTTGACATTAATCTTCTGTGTTAACTATCAGCGAGATTTCAGAAAGGCTGCATTAATTACAGCAATAGCCTGAAACAATGCCTACAGCTATTTGGCTATTAATTAATATTATCCAGGAGCCCATGCGGTCTATGTGACATCAGCTGATCAAGAAAGACGTTTCAGATGAGAAAGTTATTTAAATTTTGATTTTTACGAAGTCCTTTTTTTTTCATCTTTGGACTAACATGCACTGCATAATAAGACCAGAAACATCCATTACACTAAATATAGTTAATTCAGATTTTCTATAGACACAGCTGCATGAGACAACGGTGAGTAGATCAACCAATCGCACATTTTGCCGAAGCAAAATTATTTATTGTTGGTTGGTGTTTTTTGAGCTTTAATTCCTGAGAGAAGTTAAACCAGCACAATTTAATAAAATAGGTTTAAGAGATACTGGACTCTGGCATGAGGAGCATAGTGGTGGACCTTCATATGAAATTAAGAACTTGTGTGTAATTCTGGACTGTCCTATTCAGCATTGTGTACATATGACCTGATCCCAGCGATTATTAAAAATAAAGATGCAACTTTTAAAGTGACAAAAATTCTACAATGTTTATATCCCATTCAATCTTAATTTCAGTCAATCTTCTGGCCAGTGTTTTCTGAATATGAACAAGTGTTTGTTTTGTCTATGTGCTATTAAGCTCAAATAGTATTGACAGAGAAGTTAATGACGAAGCCAAAAAGACATAAGTTCTTACATTTTCCAGCAGACTGAGGCAAGTCTCTTTAAATACAATCAGCAGGGGGTTATCTATCTTGATTAAACAAAACTTTATCTGAGCCTCCAGTGTTAACCTGATCCAACGAACTTCCCTTTCACACACACAGAGTCTCTCTATCTCAAGTATTAGCTCGCTCGCCCACTCAGTCTTCCCTCTGTATCCAAAATGAACCGTTCTAGATGGACAGCAGGGGCAGTAGTGGTGTCCCCATACAAGGTTAATCAATTTGTCCACTGTGTGACCCCACATGAACCAGCTGATTAAAATTCCAACTCATTCTCTTTCTGACCCTTGCCTTTCTCTCTCTCTCTCTTAAAGGTCCTTATCCTTAAAGTTATCCTAACCCAGATGTTTCTTCAACCCACTCTTCTCTCTATCTCTACCCTACACAACATACACTTCCAGTGACGTCACTACAGCAAATTGTGCGTTCTGCATCTGAGCCATCAGTGAGTGACATCGCCCTTTTTGTCTCCTATTTGCACAAACGCATGTGGAAACGTCCTTATCAACAACACCTTATCTGTGGCCTTTTCTGTGCCCTCTCACAGGGCTACTGCTGACAAGACAAACGTCTCTGCTCCTCAACAGACAGTGATAACCAAACGTGTGTTTTTCAACTGGGTAAAGGATTAAGACCAGACTCAACCTGGACCAGACGTTCAGCTCTGATAACAAAAACCACCCCTGACTGATTAGTGCCCCGTCATGCCGCAGAACAGGGTGTGCTGAAGGACAGTCCTGCACGCTTTATCTATCTCTGACACTGGCGAGCTCAGGACATATAGTGAAGGACTTTTTATTTTATAGCCCAAGTGAATGATCAAGGACGCGTGTGAGAGTCACTAGCGCTGCCATTGTTTTTGTGTGTGCGTGTGCCACCGTTTCCTGCAGAATCTACAACGCCACAGAAAATGTAATTATATTTTACCCGAGTTGTGAGCTTGCAGACTAAATTGAACGTGATGAGATAAAAAGGACTGTGTACTGTGAAAGAACAATGGTACGATACAATAGACTTTAAAACTAGAAAAAAAAGACTTTTGTTTTCTTCACTGGCTGCACTTAAAAACAAACATATAGTGTGAATGGTGTAGTCCACTTAACAAATAAATGACCCTGAGTCAATTCTTTGAAAGTATCACGCAAGTGACTCATGAGTTATTGATCTGAATCAAGCAGACGAATCCTTCACTGAACTTAATCTCTTAGAGCTGAATTAACTTCAAGTTAAAGTTATCTAAACTGACAAAATGTCCTTTAGAGAAATGCTCAAAGGTGAATGTGAAAATGACTTATGAATGTGTTTTAATTCAAAAAATGCAAAAAGTTTTTGTTTCTAAGTAGTGTACAATTAGCTTTACATAGAAAGAGAATAAGTATTTGGTACGTCCTCATTTAGATACTGTAGCTAGGTAAACGTGTGTGCGTTTCTAGAGGAGCTCATGTAGGAGCAATAAATTAAGGGGTCCATGTGCACATCTAGGTCACATCCTAACTGTATATATCATTTGTGTGTGTGTGTGTGTGTGTCATATTCTCACCTATCCACTGTTAATCATTAGTGGACTGTGTTTGTGCCTGTATAGAACTATCTAATTCTTGTTGCTGTACATAAACTGTGCACTTTCAAACTCCACTACAACACTAACAGAACATGCTTGTTAGTGTTTTTCACTGTAGTTTCAAAATGCATTAATTATCTACAGAAATGTCCAACAGCAGTTAAATATTTTGTCTACCAGTCCACCATGACTATGTAATACAAAAACTAAGAATGAAAACAAATATATTAAGTTATGTACCAAAACAGGATACTCTGACATCACAGTTAAACGTGGCTCAAATCAGAAAGTGGATCTTCATTTGATTTAAATCTGATTTAAAAAGGATTAATTAAAATTATAATAAGTAGCAGTAATTACATATAATGTTACAAAAGACTTCCATTTCAAGTAAATGCTGAACTTTTTATTCCTCAAAGAATCCTGAAAATAACGCATCACAGCAACACCGATAATAATAACATATGATTCTGGGGCACCAAATCAGCATATTCAGAATCATATTCAGAATAATTTTTACTGTCACCATGTGTCATACAAGCTTGGTCACAAACAGCAAAACTGTGACTGCTGAGGTGTGATTTGTCATGTAGGGTCAATTTGACCAAGCTGTTGATCTTCAACAGTAACAGCACAGAAGGGTGTCTGATATGGGCCAAAAAAAAAAAA